GCCCCATTGGATACGTTTTGAAACCTCTGGCCTTCCTGCACCAAGCCTGGTTCAGAAAACTCATTTTTGTTCAGCACCCAAAAGAAGACCACATGGGTTGGAAGAAGACCACATGGGTTGGCAGCAAAAGGCAGCCACAACTAATCACCTTTGAACCCATGTGAAGAAAGCTTGAGGTGCAGCAGCAAAAGATGAAGGATGGTGTGGGAATTCATCATGATGTTCCTCCCTCTTGGCCCTATAAATAGAGAAGTCTTCAAGCTTCAAAACACACCCCAAGGGGGGGGAGCTCTCAAACACTTCTCTAGAGCTCCCTTCCCTTCTCTCCCTCACATTCTCTTAGTTTCCTTTCAAATTGTCAATTGTTGTAACAAAATGATTTTACTAAATTTTCCTTCAAGTTTTCAAGTTCTACTTTAATTTTATTTGTAATGTACATTCTTTCTTAAGTATTCAAGTTTAATTAGTTTCCAAGTTTCAATTATGGTTTTTGTTCTTATTCATTATGCTTATAAGTTAATATGCTAGTTTGAATGATTGATCACCATTTAGGCTTGCATGTTAGCTATCTTGGTTTGAATTAAGAGTAGACACCATGCTTTAATTCGAATTGAACTATGGATAGGAAGAGTATGTATGGACATTCGACAACAGGGATTAGATACATAATTGGTTGTTTAAAATGTTCTTCTATGTTTAATGGGCTCCTAATGCTTAATTTTAGGTTAGACAACAAATGATCAAATTAGGGAATTAGGAACACAAGGTTATGACCACACACCATGGCTTAATCATACTTTAGCTAGAATAAATCTGTTAATCTAATTGAACTTGGGAACTTATCTACTTGAGTTATTTTCTTTTCTTTCTTTCTTGTTTTATTTATTTTCTTTCTTGTTTTTCTGTTTTGTGTAGGAAAACTGAATTGGATTATTCAATCACCAATCCCTGTGGAATCGACCTCGCACTTACATATGCTATACTACCGAACGGCTCGTGCACTTGCAAGTATCACAAGTTGAGGATGCAGATGAATCCATTTTGGTGCAGCTGAATTGACGCAATATGTGTCTGAAAGAAAAAACCGACAATTGCTTGAAGTTGTCCGCTCACTCATATTGGATATTTCTGTTCCCCATCATCTTTGGGGGCATGCTGTTCTGTCTGTTACCTATTTGATTAATCATAATCCTAGTCGGGTTCTTGATTTCAAGACCCCACATGATGTGTTTGGTGACCATGTTTCCCCTGTCTCCGTCTCCAAGTTGCCTCCTAAAGTTTTTAGGTGTGTTGTCTATGTTCATGTCTACTATCATCAACGGAGTAAACTTGATCTTTCTGCTTTGCAATGTGTCTTTATTGGTTACTCTTCTACTCAGAAGGGTTATAAGTGCTATCATCTACCCACCTACCCAGAAGGTGCATGTTACTTTGGACGTGACTTTCCATGAAGAAGTGCCCTATTATGTCTCTCCCTCATCTCCAATTCAGGGGAAGAGGGGGAGTGAATTGGAGAGTCTTGAATTGGAGAATCTTGACTTGAATTGGAGAATGATGTGTTTGAAGATATTGCTCTCGGGAAGGAAACGATCGGTCGCATTGATGCAAGCGACTGGTTGCCCATATTTGAAGATGAAACATGTGGTTTTTGTGAAGAAATGACTGGTCGCCCTCTGGAACTCGACCGGTCGCCCATATCTAAGGATAAAGTAGATGCTCTCAGTGTCGAAACGATCGGTCGCATTGAAGCAAGCAACCATCGCCTATATCTGAAAATAGTGACAGTGATTCTTGTATGGATGAGTTCAATGCAATACCCCGCTCTGCCCTGCCAGTGCCCCAATCTACTCGTGATAGTGAATCAAGTGAGGTAATTTCTAATGATCTATCTGTGTCAACTTATTACCCTCGCGAACCACTCATGGGAAACCTAAAGTACAATATTCTCCTTATATACATGCCAAGTCTAAATATCTCATTAGCCATAATGTGTCAACTCATCGTTTGTTTAAGTCATATGCATCATATTTGTGTCAATTATCTAGTGTGTGTGTGTGCCAACTAAGCTACAGGATGCTTTACCTAACCCTAAATGGATGGATGCCATGAATGTTGAAATTGATGCCTTGAACAAGAATAAAACAATGGATTTAGTTCTTTTGCCATAAGGGAAGAAAGCTGTTAGATGCAAATGGGTGTTTACTTTGAAGCATAAGGTTGATGGTTCCATTGACCGTTACAAGGCTAGATTTGTAGCAAACGGTTATACTCAAATCTATGGAGTGGATTATTTGGAGACCTTTGCTCCAATGGCAAAGCTCAATACTGTGTGTGTACTATTGTCCCTGGCTGCTAACCGCGACTGGCCCTTATTGCAATTTGATGTCAAAAATGTGTTTCTACATGGTGACCTTAAGGAGGAGATTTACATGGATCTCCCTCCTGGTATTCCTATAACCTCTAAGAAGGGTGTTGTGTGTAAGCTACGAAAGTCCTTATATGGATTGAAGCAGTTTCCAATAGCATGGTTTGGGAGATTTGCAGCATCTATGAAGAAATTTGGGTATGTGCAGAGCAACTCAAACCATACTTTGTTTCTGAAGCGTCATAGAGGTAAATTGACAGGTTTAATTATTTATGTTGATGATATGATTGTGACTGGAGATTATCAGGCAGAAATGCAAAATCTTCAGAAGTATCTGGCTTCCGAGTTTGAGATGAAGTCATTGGGTGATTTGAAGTACTTTCTTGGGATTGAAGTTGCCAGATCTAAACATGGTATCTTTCTGTCTCAAAGAAAGTATATTTTGGATTTACTTGCAGAGACTGGAATGTTGGATTGTAAACCAATTGATACTCTTAGTGAACAAAATTATAAGTTGGGGTTGTATCCTGATCAAGTCCCTACAGATAAAGATCGTTATTAACGACTTGTGGGGAAATTGATTTATTTAGCTTATACACGTCCTGATATTGCATATGCAGTGAGTGTAGTGAGGTATCTGAAAGTAACTCCTGGCAAGGGGTTAATGTTTTGCAAGTATGGTCATACAGATGTGGAAGTGTATACGGATACTGATTGGGCTGGTTCAGTCATTGATAGACGTTCTATATCTGGGTATTTCATATTTATTGGTGGTAATCTTGTTACTTGGAGGAGTAAAAAGCAAAAAGTGGTTTCTAGGTCTAGTGCCAAGGCCGAGTACCGTGGGATGGCTCAAGATGTGTGCAAGTTACTATGGTTGAGAAGATTGTTGAGAGATCTTGAGTTTGGACCCCAGAAACCCATGGATTTGTATTGTGATAATAAAGCTGCAATTACAATTGTGCAACATGATCGTATAAAGCACGTGGAGGTTGATCGACATTTTGTTAAAGAGAAGTTGGATGTTGAAGTTATTTATTTTCCGTTTATATCATCCAAGTATCAACCGGCAGATGTTCTTACGAAAGCTGTGTCTACTATGGTCTTTCTCAACTCACTTGACAAGTTGGGCATGCGTGACATTTTTGCTCCAACTTGAGGGGGAGTGTTAGCGAGATCCTAGCTTAATTAGAAGATTTATTTCCTAGTTTATTAGGACTATATTTCTTTCCTTTTGTATAGATATTGTGTAATTAAGATTTTATCTTGTTACCAAGTTTGACCCTACTAGGGTTTCATCCTTGTATTATAAATGCCTCCTTTTGGAGAATGAAATACAACCTGAAAATGTTCTACCCATATTGTTTGACTTTTTCAATTAGCTCCTGAAAGCAATTTTAAAAAAATTATTAGCATTGATATTTCAATTTCATCAATTTGAGATGCAACGTTTCTAAATCTAACCAATTCACTTTCTTCGATTCAAAAGTTAAAAGCTGATGTGATAATCACAATAATGGGTTTTTATAGCTGCTTGTACAATCTGTGTATGTGATTTTTTTTTTTTTGGACTTGAGATTGGTCTTATTTCATGTAGTAATAAATCTTGGCCAAAATATGTTGGTCTCAGTAGTTTTCACAAAATTCTACATTCATTCCTGTATTTTCAATTGCATTGAATGTGGTCCTGTAGTTTGCAAATTGTCCTAATCCAACAAACATCCCTCAACTCCCTTTAATTTTTTGTACAAAACCATTACGTGTGTAGCACCCGAGAGAGTGGGTATAGTGGCACTCTATTGAAGAACACAGATTAAAAATATACTTTAATTTTTTATTGAAATTATTTACAAAAAGGGATATTAAAAAAATGTGGAGTGGGTATAGTGGCACTCTATTGAAGAACAAGGCATTCACCTCTAGAAAAATGATTAATGCACAATTAAACCTAAAATTTACCAAAAGACACTTCATACAAAACTACTAGGGGTGTACATATTTTATCAATCCAATCCAATCTAATATTTTATTGGATTTGAAATTTTACAATCCGATCCAATGTGTTCGGATGTCAGGATCCAATCCCATCTAATTTAATGTACATTGGATTCGATATGATCAATTTGTATGAAAATATGATAATCCTAAATATAAATAAATAAATTTTAGAAAACAACACTAAAACACGAAGTTTGACACACAAAAATTAGAAATCTAGACATAAATATGCATAAATAAATTTTAGAAAATACCATGTTATAGACATAAATAAATTTTAGAGTTCAAGTTACATCCATTCCTTAAAAAAAGAAACGCAAAAGTCAACACAAAAAATTAGAAATCTAGAATGTTTATGCTATATTAATATATTTTTTTTCGAAATAATATCAACGAAGTTGTGTTGGTGCGTGGGTGTGAGTGAAACGTGAAAAGTGGTTTAGGTTCTAACACTAGGAAAGGTAAATATTTGCATATTAGGGAAAAAAATTTTGGATTGGATTAAATTGTTTGGTTTTACTAATATATATAAGACCTTGTCTGTGGTCCCGTTTTATACATTTGAGCAATTACAGGATTACATGGATGCTGTGCAATTTCTTATCTCATACTCAAATCTTCAAATGAAGAGAGAAGCTTAAGCTATATAAATGCATAATTCAGTATGTGCTTCGGAAAAATAAAAAGGAAAATTATTTGTACAACATTTACAAACCACGTCATCGTAGATTCGTAGATCATATTTATTCACTAGCTTAACATATATTCACATTGAGCGCATCATCCCGGTTATCCAGGACTTCCAAGTAATAAGGTAGTCCTCATTTTATTAAAGATTCGAATCTACAATGTGGTTCTGTGGTCTCTCCCATGAATCGACGTCAAACATGTCATCCATGCCATCGTTCGCGCTTGGATCGCCATCTTCGGGTTGACGCCTTTCATCAACCTCAGCATATTGTTGTAGCTTTTGGTTGCACAGCGTCAGTTGCTCTTGCAATAGACTCCTCTCGGATTCGTGCTTCATTATAATCCACTGTAACGATTGAATCACTTCTTCATCATACTGCTGCTTCTGTTCAGCCATCCGACGGTACTGATTGGCTTGGATTTCAATACAGCTTTTCTCATTCTGAAGACGCAAGATCATGGCCATTGTTTCCTCGGCTGCAGATGCAGCTGCCATCCTTTCCTTCTCGAGCTCGGCACGAGCCTCGTTCGTCTTTCGCCGCTCGATCTTCACTGACTTTCTCAATGCCAGAACATCAAATTCTCCATCCTCATTGCAACAAATACTTTCCTCCTCATCACCATCAGCATCATCATCAGCAGCAGCGCCGGCAGCATCATCATCATCAGCTTCATCTTCTGCAGCAGCTTTCGCCTTAATTTTTTTGCTGAAGGCCAAGCCATCTGCATTCAGTGGTTGTGAATTCTCCAACGATTTTGGAGCATAAACTTCATCAAAACCACGTTTTGAACAAAACCCATTTCTCACTTCACTTGCTTTCCCTCTAAAATCACATAAAAATTCCATCAAACACTTGGCATGACAGCCAACTTGCAAAACTTTTAACCCCAACACAAACACCAAGAACAGCCCCAACAGATTGAGAACTGGTGAGAAACGGCCAAACATAAAAAACCCACATCCAAAATCACTCCCTTGACTCAAAACCTTGATACATGAAGCACACTCCATGCCCAAAATCCCCAAGAAAATCTGCAAAACCCTCTCAAAAACAGAGCAAAACACAACCAACAAGCAAAAACGACCCAAAATCTGCATCTGCTTCTCCCAACTCACCCAAATCCAATCCAACCTTGATATTTATACTCATACATTCATTTTAAGCAAGAAATCCAGGGCCTTTATGAAATTCAGAGAGAATTTATACAAAACCCAACTGGATTTTACCTTTTCTTTGCTTCTTTGCTTATAAAAACGATTAAATTGAAAGTCACTAAAATAACTTTCCAAATAAGAGTAAGCCTTACCACTCAAGAGAGAGCCAGAAAGTTTTGAGGCACTAAACAGTGAGGGGCTGAGTTGGGGATATTGGAAATCGAAAACAAGCGGTGTAGAAAAGGAGGAGGGCGACTTATTAAGGGAAAAATAGAGATGATGAGACCAATGTGGATATTGTGGGCTTGTCTATTTTTCGGGTGCCATTTATATATAATTTTGGTCACAAATGTCGCAATTATAACAATTATAGCAGTAAGATTCGGTAAAGTCATGAGAGAAGAGAGAGATGTCAGCAGAGCCCTCACTCCCTTCTTATTGCAGAGAGGACCGTTGGTACGTTACGGATTTTGTGGCATTTCTGTAAATGATGACAAGTCCAGGGACGTTTGTGTTAGATAGAGTGTCAGCTAATGGCCGGCTAACGGCTGTCCGTCTCAACCTAGAGATGTATAATCTAACGTATGCCAATCACATGGGTTTTAGCACTTATTTTGGAATTTATTTTTGAGATCATGATAATTATATGATGTGCCTTACTCTTACGTGTGTGTGCATAGTATGGATAATTTTTTGGTGTGATTAGGGTTGGTTATGAGATTTTGAGGGTTCTGTGCAAAACATAAACAAGAACCCACAATCTAATTTGAAAGTATTTATATAAAAAAATTCCATGACTTTACACCATAAAACAATTTTTTTAATAACTAACATTCATCATCTAATGCATGCAATAGCAATCATAAATAACATTCATAAAAGTTTTAATGTTTCAATTTGAGAAAATGTAAGAGGAAGAAAACATGAACTTTTTTTGGTTTCGTTTTGAGTGGATGAAAACATACACTCCAAATTTTTTTTGTTTGATCGGAGGAAGCTTGCATATATCGCTTTCCTCTTCTTTGACGTGTTTCCTTTTCCTTTTTTTTTTTTTCCTGTTGTTAACAATAAAAAAGAGTAGAAATGTAAAAATACAACTTTTTTTTTTTGTTGAGAAAGAGGGGAAAACCCCAAACAAAACAAACTAAGCAACATCATGTATCATGCGGGGTGTAGTGATCCCAAGGATATCATCAAGAAGGATATTTTCCAGCCAGCTTGGGGCCCCAACAAGGAGACATCCACCTAGCGCTAAGATCAACTTTTGAATGACATAATATGGACTCAAACTCAACTTGGGTACTAAAATCAAGGGGATGAATTCCAACTCAACCAAATAAACACTTGTGTTACTTTCCTGCACGCTCAAGTATATATATAATACCTATAATATTAGTACACATAATATATACGTAAAAAAAATTCAGAACCTTGTGCGGTGGCACCACTTGCACACCCTCAAGGGCGCCCGCCGTGCATATGTATACTAACGTGAAGTCATATGTAGATGATGTAATATGGTTCCTCAT